ATTTGTAAAAATCTAATCGTTTAGCTACCATACTCCGTGTCGTATGTGGTGAACAACCCTGTATTGTTGGTGTCTCGTCAACAATAAAAGTAAATTACCGATGAGCATGTGCTAATTCATCTTTTAAAAATAATTTAGCATCATCTATTACGAGTAATTACTATTGTAACCTAGTCGTATCGATTTAATTTATATAACAGATAACACAAATAACTAACAATTTCTGATGATTAGGTGCTAATTCTTATTGCCTTATATAAATTAATGTCAGAATGAATGTAATGATGGATTGGCAGCTTTACACTATAGATTAACATTAAACATAGATGTAACGGCAATTTGTATCATTTTTTTAATAGTACCATTTACTTTTGTTAAATTACACTACTGTAAATTAGACGTCAAAGATGTAATAAATTTTGAACTGTATTAAAATAATATTTGACGTTTCAATGGTAGATGTGTTTTTTAATCCAGTCATAAAACTAGAGATAATAAAAATAATTCTGCTTCTGATAATTTTTAGTTTAAATATGTTTCAAATATTACACTCTAATTGTGTACTGCCATATTTTATAAAAATTGACAAATTGTACCTAAGGGTAAATTTAATAATATGCCAAAAAGGTAATAAGTTCCTAACTTGCGTACTTTAATAAAATAATATTTGACTTTCTAACAGTAGATATGTTTTCTTAATCTAAAAAGATAATTTTAGATTACTTTTTAATATTTGGAGAGCATATTAGATATTTTTTCCACATGTTTGTATTAAAAAAAAAATACTTTTTATATTTTGTTTTTAGTTACCCTATTGTTTCTGAAGTCGAGTACTCAAAACCGGTCAGAATCTTTTATCGAGAGAAAAATATCTATGTATATGAAAGATATAATTAGATGCTACTATGTTCAAGACAAAATTATAAATTTGGACTATTTCAAATTTAAAAAAAAATCTTGTTAAAATATCCCACCCTGTATATTATCAGAGCCTTCGTTTTATAGACATAGAATGTTAAGCCATCGTTCAACGTCACGTCATATATTGTCGAACTGCCTCAATCACTTGACAACCAGATGAAAGAGATTGCTGGCGTCTTTTGTCATTGTCATTTGATTTTGGGTTAAAATTTTATTGACGAACATCGATCAATGTCAAAATTAAAATTAATTTTTTTATTGAAAAAATGTCTCAAATATTTAATAAAAATGAACAAGAGCTCATTGCAAAGCTTATAGTCTAAGAGCTAGCAACGTTTTCGAGAAAGTATTTTAAGACGTCTGGCTCTTTGATATATATTTTACTATGCTCTCTGGAACAGCATGCGGCCCGTCTGGCTGCCGATACCCGTTGCGTTCACTACTGCGCATCGGAAGAAGATCCTATATTTTTTTATTAATTTAGTCCTATAAATTCTAGTATTGAATATAAATCGAACATGTCTCCATAGCGCAGTGCGTAGAGTTTCTGACCACGAACCGATGATTCAGAGTTCGAATCCGGGTCAGGTCAAAGACTTTTTTATTTTATTTTCGTTTATATTCTGATAGTAAAGTATTAAATAATTCTGGTAATTAAAAAAAAAACAAACATTTTATACTGGCTGACGATGGCTGAACAGTCTTTACTTTACTGTTTACATGTAGTAGAAAAACATTTGCTATACAGAAGAAAAACTAAAAATGTTTCAGAAACAATAAAAAAAGAATGTTTTTTTTTCAGATTGAAACTAATTTCTTATTTATTAATTTCTATTAGTATATTATATTTTTTCTTGTGATCAACTGATAATATATACAGCATATTATGTTAAAAATGATGCTTACTAAAAATCTAAAAAAACATGAAAAACACATATTATGGTTTGCAATTTCTAAAATCTCTACTTGATAACCAAGATACCAACCCACCACCACCACCACAAAAAATTAGGCCCATCTCAAAAAAAAAAAGATAAAAAAAAATAAATAAAAAAACCCTACTGCAATGTGATACCAGGCTGTAACATAAGTTTATTATCTCAATCCTAATTAACCTATTCGATGCTTCTGAAATACCTCGATCATTATAGGAAAACTGATTAGTACCAAATAAATATACTTTAGACAATAATCTGTAGGCTTAAAAATATATATCTATATAATAACAATAAGTCACAAATATATCGAGTTTGTTACACAAGGGAAAAAATGGAACCAAACCAAGAAAGCATGCAATGTAAGATGCTGTATTTCCACAAATAAAAAAAAACAAATGTTAGATTTGGGTAAGAAAACATTAGCTCTTTACCAAACCATTTCGTAAACTTACAAAAATATGAAATGCTGCGTTAGCTCAGATTCTCTTTGTTCTTGATTGGAGTTCGAAAATTGATCCTAAGATTAATACAAAAATAAAAACAATTATAATAATATATACAAAAAGTATTAATGTGCAGATAAAATTATAGTTTGTAAACATAGTCAATGAATATAGGTATGTATACCTGGAATTATAAATAATATAGTTTAAACAAAATCAACGTCATATTCATAATTTTGAAAATACAGTAAATACGTATTAACGGACACCATCTTAGAACCTCGTTGTTAAAAGGCAGTTTTAAAGGTCCCGAAATATACCAAGGGAAATTGAAAAGTTTCTGACTTCCCCATATATTTTTATGCAACAAAATCTGTGCAAAAAGAGTATAGAATATGCAAATATTTGTTTTTTTTGCAAAGCCAATGCACCTACGCAAATCAAAGATGCGATGGACGCCGTGTACGAACACTCTGCACCCCTATCATTTACCAGCAAAATAATACACTAAATCAGCACAATACACTAAAACACTTACTTTTACACTGGGCGCGCGTTTCGCTAACCATGTTGGCATTATCAGCAGATAATCAAGATAATCGTCTGCTGATGATGCTAACCTAGTTAGCGTAACGCGCGTCCAGTGTAAAAGTAAAAGTGTTTTGATGTATTGTGGTGATTTAGTGTTTTATTCTGCTGTTGTAACACCAAAGGTTCCAACCTCCAACTGTAATCTCTTCTTAATATTGATTCAAGTTGAAAAAATGTAACTGAATGAACATTTTCAATTTAGCTTTAGTTTAAAACTTTGGAGGAAACAAACCAGAATTTCAACTACAATTTTTGATTGCAGATGAATAATCATCTGTGATTCCCTGAAATGCCTAGTAGTTTCATGTATTGCCGGCAAACGGCGTAACTCTACAAAATGGCACATGGTTTGACTGTGAATTTCAGGCATTTTCTGTAATAACGGAATTATCCGTCATTACAGGGAATGCCTGAAATGAATGAATGCCGATTTGAGAGAAAGCGAAAACCGTTTTTCTCCACAGGAGAAGCAATGACTATTTTAGGGTAGCCTTGGGTTCGTTCTAATCGACTATATTCAGAAAAAAATAGATTACAGGAGTATACTTACTATGCATATGTCATACTTCACAAAATGAAGGAATAAACTGCATAAAAACGGTCATGTCTGTAGTAGAAAAAAAAATTATCCACAAAGACAATACCCAATTGTACAAATTTATCAATTAGAACACCCTCTGTATTCGCTAGGTTTAGAGACCACATTCGTCGATCATTGTAAACAATTCTTTGCTGACTTGCGGTAAGTTCTGCTTAGAATAAATAAAATATGATTTTTGAACGGTTAAAGTGTATAAAGTCGAATCATTTTAGATTCGGCATTTAAATTTTTCGAAATTTTCAAGATCCCGGGATTAAACATACACCAGGATCCCCGGATTTCGGAATCCCGGTTGGGAAACCCTAATTGTGAGTCAGAAACTTTTCAGAATATCCTTGTAAAATAATGAACCCAGATATGAACATAATTAATAATCCAGATAATCCCAGATTAATGGATTATTTTACAAAACAAATAATTGATATAATTCAAGATTACCAAAATGAAAATATATCAATTACCATTACTAACTATATATTTATGTTATGCAACAAAATATCGCCACTTTTTGTCCGTGGTATACTTATGACCTCAACAATGTTAAATGTAAAGTATCAAACTAAAAACTGATTTTTTAATGTGGAAGAAAAAAATCTTCAAAATAAAAATGTAGTGTAGATCTTATACCATGTGATTGAAAGAAGACGACATCTAATAGGCATTTATTTTGTATTAACAAAGACTACAAATAATGGATTATCAGTTGTCATTGTTATTGCCAAAGAGCTTCAGCGATAGACACAGCAAAATCTAAACTGAAATGTAATTTTACACCTACTGTGACATCGTTTTCATTACATATGGTCAAAATTAATTTGTTTCCATTCTAACCCAATAAATTTTCTTTTACTATATTAAACTTACCTTTAATATTTTATTACCTTACAACTGTATATTTTCTAGCTACTATATTTTTATAAAATATTGTAGTGGACCAACTAATATAATAAAAAAAATATAAAAAATAGCACAAAATAAAACCGAGGAAATTCAGACTCCAACCAAGTCATGAAATGATTTAATGAAAGGGCAAAACATTTGTAAAATTAATAACTTAATATTAAGCAGTAAAAGCGTGTTTCTTTACTTGCTCAAAGTGGAGATACTAGATTAAAAATTAGAACCAAATAAAATACAGCATCTTACAATTGGTAAATATTAAAAATAAAAGAGTTTGGGCAAGTTTAAACACTGGCATTCTGAAAGTAAAAACTTTTAACTTGAATTTTTTTAAAGCAACTTAGTTCTAGTAAAAATCACAACGAAATTTTAATTAGGTTGTAAAAAATATCTGAAACTTATAAAAATATATTTTGAATATCTTAAAATATAAGTTACCTATATTATTAGCACGTACAAATAACACCGATTACGAAATTTAATAATGACATTATTTACTGAAACTAAGTTGATCGAAAAGTAACTTTAAAAATATTTAAATGATCTCAATCATGCTAGGTGAGCAACCTTTACAACATTTTTAACAAATCATTGAAAATTACATACCTCATCGAAAAACACTTGAGTCTTTCTCAGGATCTGTTTTAACTCTGTCAGCTCAAGGAAATTCTTTTTTAGAGCTTCGGCATTCTGGTTGACTTCGCGAAGTTCATTTTCTAGTTTTTCAAATGTAGCCTACAACAAAATATGTGCTCAATACTCAAAACATTTCCAAGATCAAAGTTAGGTGTTTTTTTAATCAACAATAAGGCTCAACTTTCGTTTACTTGAAATCAATTAATTATTTAAGAAATATTTGTTGTTATTTAGAATATGTAGCTGAAATCAGGGCTACTTTCGTTTACTTGAAAGCCGTTATGTAAAAAATATATATTTAGTATTTGAAAGCCTTTTTTCGAATAGTCTGCCATAAAAATTTCTATGAAAATGCACCCTTTTTGTGTTTTTCAACTATACAGGGTGTTTCAAAAAAATATGCCATCTCTAGTGGAGAGATTCCTCACGTAAAAATAAGATTTATTTTTGGAATCATCATAGGTCCGATTCTGCTTTGCTTCGTAAAATCTTAATAATCTTTCGATTTATTATAATTTTCTTCCAAGTACTTTTAGTGTTTCGAATAAAATTTTGAGGGTAAAAGTTACTATAAATACGACATATTTTAAAGCTAATAAAGTGTCGACATATTCACCAGGGACGTGCGTATTATCACTGGAATATTTTTCTAAAAAAAGCATGTACGCTACTGATTTTTTCTCTTATTAGCGAAATAGTGTAAGCAGTTTAATGCCAATTAAAAGTTGTCTCTTGATATTTTGTCGATTTCGGCCTCCCTGATGAGATAAATATAATTTTAATAATTTGTCTTGATTCAAGTCTAATAGCAACCTTTAAAACATTTTAACATAATTAACCAAAAAAATATGAAAAAAGTGCATATAAACATGGGAATGGAAATGCATAGTTTTAGGGTTACAGGATGTTAAAATTTTTTAAAATTAGATTTTTTGTAATTATCTTAAATACCACTATTTTTTTATTTTAAATTGCTGTATGTTGGACTAATAGTAATAATATTTAATAATAAATTAGGTAAAATATATAATTTATTGCGTTTATCTCATCAAGAAGGTCGAATTCGACCAAATATCAAGAGAAAAATTTTGATTGGCATTAAACGGCCTACACAATTTTAACATCAAAATAAAAAAAGTCAGTGGCGCATATGTTTTTTTTGAAACATATACCAGTGATAACCCATATGCACGTCCCTGACGAATTTATCCTGATTTTTTTAGTACTGAAATATGTAGCACTTAGGGTAATTTTTTCCCTCAAAATTTCATTCAAGTCACTAAAAGTACTTGGAAGAAAATTATAATAAATCAAAAAATTATTTTCAGAATCGGACCTATGTTAATATGAAAAATAAATCTTATTTTTACGCGAGGAATCTCCCCACGAGAGAGGGCACATGTCTTTTGAAACACCCTGTAGAATAACTGAAATCAGTTATGTAAGAACTATTTGTTTATTTAGTACTTGGAAGCCTTTCCAAATAGAAAGTCAAGAAAAATTTTACGCAGAAATGCATAATTTCCAGTTTCTCAACTTTAGAATAGCTAAAACCAGAAATTTTTAGATAGATCCCAAGATAGATAACATAGATAGGCAAAAAAAACTTCTTGCGGAAATGTACCATTTTCATTTATTGATAAAATATTGTAAAATATAGCAAGATTTGAAAAGTACTCCACAATTGAAATTCGTAAACAGACGCGTTTTAGCTTACAGCGAGTTTTGATTGCTTTGAGTAGGTTTGTTTTGGTTTGTTGGTGCATTTTTGTTTATTTTCGTTTTTTATCAGTAGGTATTGATGTCTAAATTACAGTACCTATCTACTAGGTTAAGTTGATTTTTTTTTTAGAATTTAGAATGAGTGGGAGGGGGGTTAATCACTTCGACCTTACAGATCCATTGTGTCCCCCTTTCTTGAATCATAACTCATCATACAGTCCCAGGGCTTTGACAAAAGCCAGTATCTGGGACGGTTTTATAGAGGGTAGTTCTCCATCTCCAATATCAGTCGTACCAAACTTCATGGCACGAATGGTTGTCGTCTCGGCGCACTCAGTGATGAGGTGTACTGGTGTTTCCCCATCTTCCCCACAGAATCTGCATTCGCCGTTTCTTCTTAGTTTCAATCTACTGAGGTGTTCATTGAGGAGACAGTGTCCTGTTAAAAACCCCGTGACAATCCGAAGATTGTTCTTACTCAGACCCAGGAAGATCTGTGATTTTTCTTGATCATAAGCCCTCAGAAACTTATTCGAGTGTCTTAGACCATTGCAAGATTTCCATTCCAGGTTAAGTTGATACAATAATTGAATATAAAGCAGAAAAACGTTTTCATGTAACTGATTTCAGTTATTCTAAAGTCAGGAAAAAATAGAATGATGCATTTCCGCAGAGAGATTTTTATGATTTTGTGTTTGGGAGGCTTCTATATACTGGATGTTTTGTTATTTTTTTATAAATGATTTCAAGTAAAAAAAGTTCAGCCAAGAATAAAATTTCATGTTGCATATAAGCATTTTTTCATTTAACCACTAAAAATTTGAAATGACTCAAGAATTTTTATACCTCTAAATCTATCATTTCCCTGGGTTGTGGTGCTTCAGGATTTTCACCAGTATCCAACATCGGAATACCATCCTTCTTGATTTCCTTCTCCAGATAGCGTAGCTTCCTTTCCATTTCATCACATCTTCGGACTTCATTAACAAATTTTCTTTGAAACACATTGACATCCGGATTTAACTAGAAAACATAAATAATAATTAATAATTTCCTACTAATAATAATTTCCTGACATTTTTTGTTGTATCTATCAATTTATATCAAGAAATATAAAAATAAAGTTAAGTATTTTATAAATGTGTAAAGTAAAGTCATGGTGAGTTTGAAGAGGTTTCTTAAACAGTTATCTCTTATCTAACAGTACTTTTTCAAATTTAAATGAATCATATCAATATGTATATAAATGTGGAGACTACAAATAAAAACATATGCCTCAATCTATTTTATGTATTATGTTCTCCCGTTCTCCCTGTTTAATTACTGATTATAACTTAAAACAAATAATTTTACTGCAGTAATACTAGAATATTAAAATATCCTAATATTAATACAAAAAATTATCTAACTAAAAAGTGACTATATTAAGTAATACAGAAAAAAGTGCTAGAATATACTCATTATATTAATTCAATTTACAACATTATTAAATAAATACTTGAGATAAACTTTACTATAAATTAATTACTGTATAAATTTTCAATCTTTCTCAGAGAACCATTTCTTTCCTTTAACTAATTTATATGCCATAAATTAAGAGAGAGACATTGCAAATTTGTTAAAATCAACAAAGCAATTTGCTTAACCATAAATGTATTTATTTATAGGTTGTTAACACTAATGAAATTTCAGAGCTCGACAGTATTTATGCAAATATTTAAACAAGTCCTAAGCTTGCTTTAAAGTAATTAAATTTAGTTGCAACTGTTTTGTAGACAAAAAATACGTAATCTATTGAAAACCACATGTAGAATTGTACAAAGTACATAATTTCAAAAAAGAGTTTCCATAAATATGTTGTGTATAATGATATAACAAAATAGAATGTGCCAAAGCCAATGAATGGGCAAAATTTCTAAGAACAATGAAAAACCGTATTGTTTCATCAAAAGAATGCCTTGTGAAATAACATAAACAGGACATGCTCAGCTTCATAAACAACTTATTGTATTTCACTAGACTCTATCAAAGAATTTGCTATTTAAGTACTGCAATAATAAAAATAAACACATACGTCTCGAAATTGGACAAGTCCTAGTTCACCCAACTCGGACACACAAGCATAGGCCGCTTCACTCTGAAGAAAAAGTTGACAAAGTGTCATCTCCGCACTGCGGAACAACGACCCCATGTTGATGGCCCTTTTCACCACTTCACTTTTTAACTAAAATTATTAAATTTAAAGTTATATTTCTGTCGTCAACCGATCCCGGAACTTTACGTACACCCCCCAAGGAATCTGACAGAAATGAAAGCGGCATAGATCGATCGTCGATTGGAATTTCAGTCAGCGGGCATGCGTAGATCTAAAAAATGTTAAAAGAATCGAATATCAAAAATATTACATGAAATAATTTTGAGCAATCAAAAGCGGATAATGGATTATCAATTTGACAGTGATAAATGGCAAAATATATTATTTTCAAGCAAACGAAAGAGGTTTCCATGGTAAACCAGCTGATTTTATTTTGTCCGACAGCGACATCTAGGTAATGAAGAAACAACAACTGGATATTGTGTCTTAGCAATCTGCTCTATTTAATTGCACTGCTTTGCATTGACATTAAGAGATGGCGCGTAACAGTTTTTTATTTAATTAAAAAGAAATGCCTTTATTTTTTTGAAATTAAAACTTATTAATACATTTTTATCGCCGTTATTTACTATACTATATTTACGTATAACAAGTTATAACTAAAATTTGTATAAAGATCTTTCTATTGCAAAATAATAAAACGGAATAAAAGAACGAAAAATTACATTTATTGATGATGGCTATTAAAACTTCTCAACTTATACATTAGTTAATTTTTGTAATACTTTTACATTATTTTAATATTATAAGGTCTATCCCATAATTCAAACTTTGTTATGATTCTTTTAACGATAATGTTATGACAAAAAGTATTTGTTTGTTTTATATTAAGTAAATATACTTATTTTATAGATAAAGATCAGAACATACCTATATAAAGGGTAGTTTATAAAGAACGCTCCTTATGAAAAGATTTCAGTAAAAAGTAAATAATTCTTATTAATCAGAAAAATGGTTGAAGTTAATAACGAATATAAAGGTGAGTAAAAGATGCACTATTCCATGTTAAAAAGTGCATTTCTTTTATGGCTAAGTTTTGATCAAATATGAGCATTCTATTTATTTAGTCATATTATCTATCAATTTAATAACGGAAATGTCATTTTATTGTAGAAAAATATTGTTATTTGAAAAACTAGTGGAGTGCCCAGAGACTTTTACCTTGGAATTCAATTAATGTTAATGTGAAACATTTTGTATTGTGTTTTATACATAAAATAATAAAATGTTTACCCATTTTTTTTCGTTGCTTTTAAATTTTTATTTTAGTAATTTTAGTAAATTCTTAATTCTTCCTAATTTTTTGATTTTTTAATTCTTTTTCTAAGTAAATTTATTGAAATAAATAAATCTAATGCATAAGCTATACCTATCCCGCTTATATTCAAATCATTGAAATTTTGATTGAAATCGAATTATACAGGGTGGCACGTCATATACGACGCGGTTTTTGCAAGGAGAACAAAAGTTTATATTGAAGTGAAATTTTGCGAGCTTATGTAAGTAAATTTAAAGCATTTTCTAAAATTATGTAGTTCTATAGGGTGTCCCCAAAAGAGTTACACATCAAAGTTATGTTTTTTGTAAGGGAAAACCTATAATTATATAGGTATTAATTGATTTTTGGATTCAAGTAAAAGGTTTGTTTCGCTAGAAAAGTATATGACTAAAATGTATAGTTTTGAAATACATTTACCGGAAAAATGGGCACTTTAAAACTTTGATGTAGTTTAAAGGTTAATATATTTTGTTTTAATGGGCCGATTTTGTTAATTTTTTAACCAGTGTGTAGCCAAATTATTTGACTTTTAGTATCTCTTTCTGAATTAAAAATAAAACTCCCCATCTGTTAATTATATGAGTGATATTTTGGTGAAAGTTTGAAACATCCTGTAGAATATGTTAAAACAGCAAGAAATTTAAAAATCATTTTATCATCTAGATACATATCCCTCCTCGATGGTTTGTTTTTTGGTTCATCTCATTAGCTTTATTTTTGTTGGAAATATTCGGTTTTGAAGAAGACACTAACATTTAGTAATTTTTACATTAAGATCTTGCCTTTGCTTTTGGGCCTAGTCAACACATCTAGTAAGATCTGGTCCCGAAGCAGGCCTTCTTGACATAAGATTTGCTTCATTTGATCTTCTTCTTATAGTCCGTTAGTTAATATGTACGTTCCTTAATTGTAATTCATTATCAATTTGAAAAGCTGACAGACGGCGGTTTCTTAATAATAAACTTACAATAAGTCGATCGTCTCGATTAAGAGTTCATACGAAGGCTCCTGGACGTAGTCATAATTCAAAAACCACTTAGTCTGGTATTAAGGTATTTTTGAAACCGGAATTTTATAGCAAATTCACTGAACTCACTAAATGTAGATATATATTTGACTCACCCTGTATGTCTATAAAAATATTTTTGAAATGTACTACCATTAAAAACATATTTTGTAAAAGGTTTGGATTGAAAATCTCAAATAGGAATCCTGATACAGAGCTTTTCCGGAATACGGAGCCATCTTGTATGTATGCATTTGTACAATATATGTGTGTTTATTTAAATACTAAAGTAGTATTTGACTAAAGTGAAAGCAATGAATTTAAATGGGTAAACTTTGTAATATAATTATTAACAATACAATGCAAACCGTTTTATAAAATATTCGTTCACAGTAAATGAATTCCGAGGTTTGTATTCCATAAGGGCTTAAAGCACTCCACTAAACGATTATATCAGTATTGGAAGTTCATTTTGAGTTTTGAGTGTTATTTATTACTGAATTAATTACTGAAAAACTTTTATTAATGTTTTTTATTTTGTTTTTAGATGAATTACTTCCCAACGTTTACAAATTGCTCGACATCCCTAAGTATAAATCTTTTAGATGTGTCAGCTACATATTAATAATAATTATGGCAGTATCCTTACTCATAGGGAGTGCTCAATTTCTGATCGTCTTTAAGCATGAGTTCTTTCTGCAATATTCTCCATTTTTCCTTATTCTTACCTACGTATGTTTATTTTTCTAATAAAAATTATTTACATATACAATAATTTTATCGGAAAGTTTAAAAATCAAACGTGCTATGGCCAATGGAAGAAACAGTTCTTAAGGAAAACTACTTTGAATAAAAGAAAATAATGAAAGGAGGTAAAAAAGGGTAAAATGAAACAAAATCGATGTCATGAGACGCTATTTTTTGTTAGTTTAGGTTTGAGTGATATTCTTATGAATTTTAGAAAAAGGCTTTAAAACTAGTTAGTTGAAAAAATATGTTATCAGATTTGGTGTGAAAATAAAGATCGCTGTAATGTAAAATTATTTGATAAATGTTAACGATTTCCAATTCAACTCGACGCCGATTTTTATTTATCACATTGATAGGTAGTATTAGTCTAAAATAGGAATACAGTTTTAACAAGGTGATAATCAAAAAGTTCCCACAATTGTAAATGACTAATGTCCAATTTTAAATTCTCCATCCGATAAAGAGATAATATACAAGAAGTTCCATTAAAAATAATTCCTATCCACTCAAACTTTTTTTAGCCACCTTGTAGAAGTTAAAATTGTTTCCTGATGCATATTCAAACCAAACCTAACCAGCTAACACATTCTTTAGGTTGGTACTTATACAAAATTCATAAGTTTTTTATTAGGAGTTACTAGCTTATAGATTGCCAGACCCGTATAAAGTACTGTATGATCGAAAAAAAAACGGCGTCTAGTTGACTGGGAAATGACGATCAATGACATTTTCTATATAAATTTACATATAAAATGACAGCGATCTTCATTTCATAGCTATCGCTGACGCCGTTTTTTTTTCCGATCCGCGACCTTACAGATCTATTGTGTGTTCCCCTTTCTTGAGTTATAACTCATCATACAGTTTCAGGGTTTTTATAAAAAAGCCAGTATCTGAGACGGCTCCACAGAGGCCAGCTCCCTCCACAGAGGCCAGCTCCCCATCGACATCAGCCGTACAAAAGTTCATGGCACGAACGGTCGTCGTCATCACTCATTGATAAGGTGTTTTAGTGTTTCCCCATTTCCCCCACAGAATCAGCATTCGCTGTTGTTCCTCAGCTTCACTAGGGTGGTTCTACATTCAGCTTCACTCCTCAGATTCCACAGCCTACTGAGGTATTCGTTGAGGAGATAATGTCCTGTTAGAAACCCCGTGACAATCCGAAAATTGTTTTTACTTAAATCAAGGAAAATCTTCGATTTTTCTCGGTCTTGATGGTTACTGAGTTGATCGCATTTAGTGCTGCTTGACTATCGGATAAGATGGCTATTTCTTATTTTCGATAGTTCCTATCTAAGATAAATTGTAAGCATTTTTCGATAACGTAGATTTCTGCCTGAAAGATGCTGGTGTGACAAAACTTTCAAGATTTGTCCGTTAACATGGTAGTGTGGCCTTTATATAATTATAATTAAAATAATTTATTGACCGGTAGGCAGAACTTGGATAATGAGAACACCGACTTTTCAGAGCGTAAATATAGATTATCGTTTAAATATAAAAAAAACAAAATATAACCAGCTAAAAATAGAAATTAAGGCATCGCACTTTTATGGTAAGGGTTCTTTCTGAATTCAGTTAACATAAAACTCTACTGCCACTTACCTTATTACGTCAACATCCGTCAGCAATACATCAACAACAGGAACCTGTCGAAGACTTCGTTGATCCCCTTGTAGATCTACCCATTCGATCTTGGACTCATTCTTTGGATCGAACCACTCGACCGGTTATCACAGTGTTCTTTTAAATAACTTAATATTTTAGTGAATAGGTAAAATAAAGAAATAAAATGCCGATTTTTCACAACACCTAACTATATTTAATATAAAGAAATAAATAAATAAAAATAAAGAAAAAGATTTAACAACAAAACATTTAAAATTAATGAAACATAAAGAAAAAGAAAGAAATTGAATCAAAAATAATTAATGACAATTAGAGAAATGCAATTAAAACTCAGAGATGATAAAGTTAAAAAAATACAAAATATTCTTCTTGTTAGCATAATTTAAATTATCTACAATTAGCATACAATTTCAAATCCCTCTTATAATTATTGTTGCCAGAAAATTAATATGTTAAAAAAATATTAACTGAACAATTAAATTTAAATTAGAATTTAATAAAAAGGACAATTGCAAAATAATCACTTATGCAATGACATCTAAATTTTACTAAAGCCTTTAGAACAAACAGAAAGTCTTAAATAATTAATAAAGA